ACAGTCCCATTCTCTAACACAAGCTCAGGCTCAATGGCCATAACTGTAAGGTGTGTTCCACACAAGAACCTTTTACTTCAAAAGCTTCATGTCAAAATCAGGTGATTGCTGGCCTCACTCAAGGAGTATAGCTAAAATCAACATAAAGTAATATTCCTTTTGTTTTCTTACTTTTTGTAGTACTGGGGATTGAAATCAGGGCCTCAGCATGCTAGGCAAGTGCTCTACTGCTGAACTACATCCCCAGCCTTTTTCACTGTTAAGTTTCAGACAGGGTCTGACTAAGTTGTCCAATCTGAGCTCAAACTTGTGATCCTCCTCCCTCAGCCTCCTGAGTGGCTCATTTTTCCTTTTTCTTTTGGTACTAGGGATTGAACCCAGGGGCTCTTATTCACTGAGCCATATCCCCAGCCCTTTTTATTTTTTTATTTTGAGGCAGGGGCTGCTACATTGCTGAGACTGGCCTCAAACTTGCAATCCTCAGCCTTAGCCCTCTCAGCTGCTGGAATTACAGGTGTGCGCCACCATGCCTGGCTTCATTTACTAATTTTTAAAGGGAGTAAGACAATTTATATGATAATCTGAAGGTGAGAGGCATCATTTTCTCAGATGGCCTGATTAGGCTTCCTGCAGGGTTATTAGCTTATTAGCAAAAGACAAGACTTTCTGGGGCTCATACAAACACTGGTCAAAATGGGATGCAGCCCTGTCAGAGGCAGGGATGGAAGGCCGCCAGGCCCATGGGGATTCCTCCTCCACCTCAGTGCCCCCAGGACCACAGTGACTCAGATCAACTTCATGCATGGACTGCAGCATCTTTTACAGCTTGTAAGTAATGCTCCCTAATTTGCAATATTTTTACCTTAAAATCTCAAATGTCTCACTGGTTTGGATGACATCTAGAGTGACATGGAAAATACAGCCCTCCTGGACAGGGAAGTTCCCATCACAAAGTTCATCCCAGAGCTCAGAATTCAACTCTAGGGAGCTCTCTCGCCTATTCCAAATGAGGCAGGTGCCCTGGTAGTCGGCTGCGTGGCCTCCAGGAGACAGGTTCTGCCCAGCAGGGCTCCAAATTGATGCCACCTCAATGGGCAGTCTGAACTGCAAAGCCTCATGTCTGACCTCTTCCAGTCCTTAAAAGTAAGTACTAGAGGGCTGGGGATGTGGCTCAAGCGGTAGTGCGCTTGCCTGGCATGCGTGCGGCCCAGGTTTGATCCTTAGCACCTAATACAAATAAAGATGTGTGTCTGCCGAAAACTAAAAAATAAATATTAAAATTCTCTCTCTCTTAAAAAAGAAAAAAAAAAGTAAGTACTAGAAAAGCCACTTTGTATTGCTCAGTCACCATGAAGCAATTTCCCCTCCCCCATAGCTGCAAAAGCCCTTCTGAAATGCAGGTGGGACAGGCCGGAGCTCAATAACAGTGACAGCCAACTCCCATTTCTCTTACAGCCAAAAGTCATATCACTGTGGAGACGAGACTTCTCCAGATATTTCTCCCAATTCCGAATCAATTTCATTTGATTCAAATCAAAAAAGAGGGGCTTAGAAATATGCTTCAGAAATATTAAAATCATATAGTTTTGGCAAAAATCGCATGTGGTGGGCTGGGGATGTGGCTCAAGCGGTAGCGCGCTCGCCTGGCATGCGTGTGGCCCGGGCTTGATCCTCAGCATCACATACCAACAAAGATGTTGTGTCCGCCGAGAACTAAAAAATAAATATTAAAAATTCTCTCTCTCAAAAAAAAAATTGCATGTGGTTATTAAACCTTTCTTCTGAAGGAGAAGCATAAATGTGGCTCAGACTAAACTATTTTAAAAGTCGATGAAGAGGAGACTCCACCGAAGATGGCTGCACTACATTGGATGGAAATGAGAAATATGCGAAGCTCAGCTGGCAAAACGCACACCCAGATCGAAAAAGACTGAGTACATTTCTGTTAGGGAGGCTTAGGAGGGGCCTCCAACAAACACTGTCTGTGGAGAAGAAAAAGGGGAAGGAAAGAGGGGAGGAGTGGTTCTGCCCAGAACTTTTTTTCTTTTAAGTAAAAGCCTTAGGGACTTTACATGGGCCGACTCCTAATATCAAAACAGAAAATATTTCTTTGCCCTGAAGAACTTTTCATGTAGCAACACATTTACAAAACTGCTGCACAACACCCCCAAAGGGTAGTGAGTGACCTACTCTGCTCCCCAGAGGCCACAGGAAGCAAGGCCTCGGTGCCCCCTGTTCCATGGGGCTGGACAGGCAATGCAGAGGGCGGAGCTCCCTGGGCCTTCTGTGGCCTCAGAGGGAGTGAGACTCCCTCACCCTTTGATCCCGTCAGATGGTCCAGCCCAGGCTCAGCAGTGAGGTAGGCCTCTCCACCAGAGCAGATGGGTGGTGGACACGTGTGAAAACCAAACCCATCGGGCTGGGGATGTGGCTCAAGCGGTAGCGCGCTCGCCTGGCATGCGTGTGGCCCGGGTTCGATCCTCAGCACCACATACCAACAAAGATGTTGTGTCAGCCCAAAAACTAAAAAATAAATATTAAAAAAACAAAAAAACAAAAAACAAAAAAACCAAACCCATCAACCCACTAACTGTTCTATCCTGTCATATTTGCTGTTTTACGGCTGCATTTCTTTATTGTGCTGGGGATGGAGGCCCGGGTGTGAGCGTGCTGGGCGAGCGCTCTAGCACTGAGCTACATCCCCGGCCCTTTTTATTTTATTGTTATTTTTTGGATACAGGAGCTCCCTAAGTTGCCCAGGCTCGCCTCAAACTTGAAATCCTCCCGTCTCTGCCTCTGGAGTGGTGGGATCACAGGCCAGGCTGCTGTGCACGGGGTGCGCTGCTTCTCAGAGAACCTCACATGGTTGACTCCCAAAAGCACCCCCCCACACACACACAGAATTTAGTCCTGGTTCACAAAGATCACATGACCTCACTGGTGTTTCCCAATGGCTACAATTTATGAAGTAAAGAAATAATAATAATAATAATAATAAATTCCATTGCTGTGTTTTTTATAGAGTGTGGTGGCCCTGATGGTTGCTCCAGCAGCAGTCCACGTCTCCGTGTAATTTACTATGAGCCAGAGACTCTGTACTAGCCATAAATATTCAGAACCTGTTTCCATCAAGCCTGCATGAGCCTAGCACTGGTAGAAATAACAGCAAATCAATGCCAACAAAATATTCTGCATGTAGGACAGTTTTTGAACCTCCTTGTTTCTTTTTGCTTTTTTTGGAGAGACAAAGGATGTTGCGACCATGGTTCTAACCAACCTATCAGAAAAGGACTCCAAATATTTATCAGTAAAAACAGCCAGTGTTCATGGTGCCAGGGAGGGGAAAACACCAGCCTTGCTGTCAGAATCCAGTGCAGCAGGAAATAGCACCAGTTCAACAATTGTGGGGTGGACAAAGCCTCCCTTTGTCAGTCACGAAAGCCTCAGCACTCTCCCTCTCCAGCTGACTGCATTATAGGACCCATTCATGTCACTGAAAAGTACTTGTTGGCACAGTGCACCTTCTTGATCCAGAGACTTCAGCAACAATCAAAACGGAACTTTTCAGGGTGGTATCTCTTTACACCAGCCCCGCTGAAACATTTTCAGATCATTGAAAAAATGCAAACTATTACTACCAATGAGGTTCCTTTTAAGGAGATCTATTTTCCTATAAAGCACTTTCAATCTGTATCAAAAAGGTAGAATTTTTCTGCAAGAATGTGTCTTTTTGATTCTACTTAGTGCTTAGTTAAATCTATTTTATCTTCCTCTTTTACTTATTTGGACAGAACTTTAGAATGCTCTAAGTCAGGCAATAAGAATCAGTGTTTGCTTTTGGGCAGGACTTGTGAACAGCAAGTGGGCTTTTGGACTTAAATTTCAAGGTGCTGTGTCTGTCCACTGGGACCCTGTCTGGCATATAATTCTATCCCCAGAGGTAAGATGGCACCCCAGGAAAACTGCCAGCACAACTTTCTGTCTCTGTGGGTCAAGCCCGGGAAAGAGTGGCAGGGAAGAGCAAAAGCTTTAAGGAGTTTGATGACTTATTAGAATTTTTAAATAAACAGATCTACAATTTTAATTTCACATGTTGGCTACCATCTCCTGTCGTAAGCCAGGGACCAATCCCACCCCACCCCACCCCACTCCCATCCCTGATTCTCAAGATCCTTCTCACTTCCCAACGAAACAATACAACTGGCAAAGGAAGCCAGCAAGAACCTGTATCCACACACCAAGACCACCTGCAGCAAGCCAACGCATCACAGGCTGGGGCTGACACATGGCCTAGGGCTGCTCTTGCAGCAGATGGACCTTTCACATCCTGGCAGGGAGCAGGATCCTCCTGCTGTAGCCAGAGGCTCCATCACATCACAGGACAAGTACACATACTTTCCTCTGGGTACCTTCCAGGACCTCAACAAGGTTACCATGTGTGGAGACAGGACTGAGCAGGGCCGCACTTGCAAAGTTCAGTTGTGGCTGCTCCAAGAGCCCAGGATGATGCCCATTCAGCGCGGTGTGAGGCGCACACGGCGAGAAGAGAGGCTGTTGTGGGCAGGACGTAGCACCTCGGAAAGATCCCTAGCTGGCAGGGCAGAAGCAGGGCTTGATGCTCCAGTTTTCAAGATCATAATCCCAAGAATCCAGTTAAAAACCTACTTGGACATGTAGGCCAGAATGCAATTGCTACCATTGTTTCTCTGGGTCTAGGCTGAGGCCATTTGCTCCTGGATTGGTAATTAAAAAAAAGGTTTCTTCCTTAGCATGGAGACACAGCTTGAAGAGAAGACCGTGAGTCCTGGGAGCACTATGAAGGTGGCCGAATTTCTCCTGCACCTAGGGAATGACAGTTCCAACTGGGGAATGGAGAGAGGGCAGGGAAATGTACCTAGCCCCTAGCATCAAAAATAAAATGTCAATTAACCATGAGGGTCTCCACACCAGAAACATCCCTAAATCAAAACCCCAAAACCTTGAAAAATTCAATGGTTAAATTATTTCTAAAAGTCATTTATTTACATATTATATGTCCAGTATATAATGTGTAGATAAATGCAGCCTGCAGTGAAAGTGACCAACCTACTGGACTGAACAGCACATTATAGGACAAATTCTTGAAAAGTTTCATCTCACATTGGTATATTTTAATAAAAAAATTAAAAATCAAAGAAAATGTCTGGCCAGGGCTGGGATGAGACAGGAACACTTCAGAACCCCAAGTGGAGAAAGCTCTTTGCCCCCCTTCAGAGGGTGCCCGGTGTGGAGGGGAGGGACAGGTCATGCACAAAGGTACTTACATCACACACCCAGCCCCCACCCCCTCAAATAAAAAGAAGGAAAAGCCCCATCACTTAACACCAAACAGCAACGTCACCAGCACCCCTGCTCTGCTGCCCATCATGCCACATTGAAAGAGGAGGCCTGTGAGGAGAGGTGAGAAGAGCCGGGGGAGGGGGAGGTCTGCGCTTCAGTCTAGTTTCCACTTTCCATCTCTTACAGGAAGTCTTCAGTCATCTGATGCCTGACATGGAGCTCTGAGCAGAAACCGAGTACGTGGTGGCCACGACCCGGGTGCCGTTGTTGGTGGAGTAGCCTTGCCTCAACGTCTCAAAGTACGACGCCTGCACGGGTTTGTGATACTGCAGCACTTTTATGGCTTCTTCTATTTTAAACCATTCCCTCTTCCTTCCTGTGGAGAGAAATAAGTACAAGAGGGAAGCAACCAGGAGGCTTATGAACCTAGCGCTTCTGAGAAAATGTAGAAGAAAACATTAAAGCAATGCTTCTCAACACTTTTGAAATGTGTATTTTATAAATTTTCCCCCTTTTCTTTTTTGTACCGGGATTGGAACCAGGGGCGCTTAACCACTGAGCCACATCCTCAGCCCTTTTTTGTATTTTATTTAGAGAAAGAGTCTTGCTGAGTTGCTAAGTGCCTTGCTAAATTGCTGAGGCTGGCTTTGAACTTGCGATCCTCCTGCCTCAGCCTCCCAAGTTGCTGGGATTACAGGCATGCGCCGCCATGCCCAGCCTTTACTTTCTTTTCTTACAAAAGAAAAGGAAGCATACTTTATATGCTCCAAATAGTATACAAATGCTTACTGCAGAAAATAGGTACATAATTAAACCTGAGACTAAGAGTGACCATGCCACATGACCTCCAGTGTGCTTCTCTAGGCCCTGGGACTCCCCCTGGCTTGGGTGAAAGGTCCAGTAGTATTTCCACCTTCTGAAAAACTAACATGAGTATTAGCCGGCAGAATACTAGGACTGCTGGCCTATAATCAGTTATTTAATCAAAAAGTTAAGTGGTATATCTACCTAATGGAAAATATAAAAGAAGCCAGGCATGGTGGAGCATGCCTCTAATCCCAGCTGCTCGGGGGGCTGAGGTTGGGAGGCTGAGGGGGACTGCAAGTTTGAGAGCAGCCTGAGCAATTTGGTGAGACTGTTTCAAAAAAAGGGAAGGGGCCTGGATGTAGCTCTGTGGCAGAGCACCTGCCTGGAGGGTGTGAGGCTCTGGGTCCAATCCATAGCACTAAAAACAAAAGGACAAACAGCAGAACTCAACACAAGCATTATTATCTTCACAGTCTTTCTTAAATTTTTTTCTTTAGTGGTGCTGGGGACTGAGCCCAGGGCCTCATACATACTAGGCAAGATCACTATTCTGTGTATGACTTTTAAACTATCAACTGAGGTGGTTAATGCTTGAATCTTTTACCTCTAACGGAAAGCATATTCTGGAAGTGTAATATTAATTTCTGCTATAAACTGGCAGATGGATAAAATTCATCTGCCCAAATCCTTCCCCCTACTGTCGACATGCCTTGTCCCCATGCCCCCTCATGGGCGGTCTGTAGCCCTTCAGTTCTTAATGGCTTTGTATCTCTTAACAGTGCAATAAACTCATGTCAAAAGGTTCAGTGTGGACTGCTGAAAACTCCAGTGCTGGGGCCTGAGGAGGAGACAGAGAATGCGCTGTGGCCCCGTCCTCAGCACTCTGTCAGGCAGGAGTTGCACACTTGTGATACTAATTTTTAAGGTGCTCTTGCTCTACTAATGTCCAAAAAAACCTTTTACACCCACTTATGAGAACTGGTCCTAATGTGAGGGCTAGTCTAAAATGTGAGGAATAAGTTTGTACTCTTTCCTTTGGATGATCTTCCTCATATTACTAGAGAAAGACTGTGTCTTAAATGTACATCTCAATGCAGACAAATGAAGGTGCATTTATCTGATGGAATGTTACACAGGTGTTCCCCTGGCTGTGAATCCTAGCAGCAGACCACAGGAAGGTGCTTATGGAATAGTGTTGGTGAAGAGCAGAGCAGGGCGTGCGCGCGCATGCGCACACACACTAACTATAGCCACATTAAAATAGGAGGCTGAAATAAAATCTGAAGTGAGATGCAGGTCTTCACCTAAGTAACTGACAAAGATGAAGAACAAGCAGCAGTGTGTGCTGAGACAGACACTGCGACCGACCCCTATGAGTGACACTGAGGGTTGGAATAGCCTTTCTGGAGAGCAGTTTCAATATACACCATGAACCGTTCAAAGTATGAATGCTTTACTGAGGTAGTCCTTAGGCTTCAGGTCTTTCCCTGGAAGTTTTAAAACAGAAAAAACAAGGCTAAAGATCTTTTTCCTTTTTTTTTTTTTAATATTTATTTATTTTTTAGTTCTCGGCGGACACAACATCTTTGTTTGTATGTGGTGCTGAGGATCGAACCCGGGCCGCACGCATGCCAGGTGAGCGCGCTACCACTTGAGCCACTCTTTTTCCTTTTTATTTATTTTCTTGCTACTGGGGATTGAACCCAGGGGCACTTAACCACTGAGCCACATCCTCAGCCTCCTGGGCCACTGGGGTCACAGGTGTGCGCCATCACTCCCAGCTCTAAAGACCTTTTTCTAATCATAGCATTATTTATGATAACTAAATTACAGACTGTTGATGGTCAATAATAGGGAATTAGTTAAATGTGATGTCATGCAGCCATTAAATGTCATATTTTTTAAATGATATCTCAGTCTCCCAAGTAGCTGGGGTTATAGGTATGTGCCACTGTGCCTAGCTCTTTTTTTCAAATTGATGTTTTAAAATCTTTTATTGTTTTTCTCTTATAAATAAAAGTAATAAAATAGCTGGGTGCAAATCAAAGAAAATGGCTCCCTACAAGGAAGCTGGGTAGTATGAATAAAGCTAAACACTGTCCTCACTACTCTGCATTTATGGAGTGACTCTTTGGGGACAGTTGTACACCACTCAACAGTCTTTTCCAACAATACAAACTTTTTCCCCCCAACACTGGGAATCCAACCCGGGCCTTGAGCTTGCTATGTAATCACTCTACCACGGAACTGTATCCTCAGCACAAGTGAGCACCATGAGAAACAAGAAGGTCCTGCTCTCACCTCTCGTCCCCATGGCCAGCAGCAGGCCTCAGTCAGTATGTGCTCAGGAGATACAGATGCATAACCCTTTTGGGGAGGACACAATTTGATTTAAGAAATGCTTCTAATATGTATGGGCCATGTTTCTACTTGTTGACCCTATACCTGATTTTAGCACATTTTAATTTTATTTTAAAATTCTGTTTTTTTTGTTCAGCTTGCTTTTAGACAATGCAAAATAATAACTTTCTCAGGTTCAAAATATATGTGCTTATTTTATTAAACACACTCTTTTATGCCAGGCATGGTGGCGCACACCTGTAATCCCAGCAAATAGAGAGGCTGAGGCCAGAGCATCTCAAGTTCAAGGTAAGCTTCAGCAATTCTGTGAAGATTCTCAGCAACTTAGCAAGGCTGTGTCTCATTAAAAAAAAGAAAAGAAAAAGAAAAAAATCACCCTTCTACCATTTCTTTTCTTCAACAGGCCCTTTTGGTTCTGAGTAATGCCCTAAGGGCAAGTGTCAGTTATGGGGAGCTCTTCCAAGGCAGTCAGGTAACGAGGACTTACCAATGTTAACTGAGTCTTCCCAGTCTTCCAGCACTTCTGTGACAACCAGCACATAGACATACGTCCTGTGCTTCCTCTCCTGGTTCTGACAGACAAAAGAGAAGGGTAGAGGGAGAGTTTTTCCTTGGAGAGCGAGATGGCAGAAACACACTCTTATGCACACATCCAGAGAATTTAGACATAAAGATTCCTTTCACTTTTTCCCATCCTACAATCATGGCCTATTTAAAACAGGTTACACCTGAATTTTGGGCTATGAAAGTTAAGACTTTACACTCACTTTTCCCTCTCTTCCCTTAACTGCAACTCAAAGGAATGTTGAGACCTCTCGAGAAAAAGGACCATGAGCCAGGCCTGTAATCCCAGCTACTCAGGATGCTGAGCAAGTCTGAGGCCTGCCTCAGCAATTTAGCAAGACCCTCAAAATAAAAAAGGAAGAGGGCTGGGGATGTGGCTCAGTGGTTAAGTGCCCCAGGTTCAATACCCAGAACAAAAAAAACCCCAAACAAACAAACAAAAACCATGTAAATGTAACTAAATACAACGCCAGAAAAGAGACTATGGATGGCAGGAACACCACAGAGGTCTCAGCTTTGGTGGGCCCATCAGACTGGCTGAGTATGGCAAGCCTCCCCTTTTCCTATGAACTCTGCTCCTCTCTATTCCCATGACTTCTCAGGTCCTTCACCTTCTTTCACTACCACAGCCAATTTTCCTCCTATACTACAGACACCTAACTCCCATTTTTCTTGTTTTCTCTACACTTATCTCCCCTCCCTCACACCTTAGGAGAAGAGGAAAAAAAGTAGATATGGGATAAATAATGCCTAAAATTATTTTAGCTTTTTGGACATTACAGGATTTAAAAAGAAAGAATGGTGCCTGGCGCTGTGGCACACGCTTGTAGTCCCAGCGGCTCAGGAGGCTGAGACAGGAGAATAGCAAGTTCCAAGCCAGCCTCAGCAAAAGCAAGGTGCTAAGCAACTCAGTGAGACCTGTCTCTAAATAAAATACAAAATAGGGCTGGGGATGTGGCTCAGTGGTTGAATGCCCTTGAGTTCAATCCACATATCAAAAAAGAAAGAAAGAATGCTATTCTCTGCTGTGCTTTGTTTGACAATTCAGGAAAGCAGAGCTCTTTCCCAGATTAGGAATATGTGGTTATTAATATACCAAAGAGGTCAAGAGACTTACCTCAAAAATTCCAACTAATCTTCCCAATGTCCCTTTTACTCCAGCCTGAAAAAGGAAAAATAAAAATTAACACAGACATTTTTACGTTGCTGGTCTCACTGAGTCTTTTTGAGCAGTCTATTAAAAACCAAAAGGACACGCTGGCAGAGACTCCAGGGCTGAGTAGGCTACACCAAGGTTTCCTACATGTTACATCTAGACTGGTCACAGCAAGGTACATTCTGGAGAGGAGGAGTTCCTGTTCCTCTCATCTCTCCTGGTCTCTCTCCCCACTAAATGCTGGCCAAACAAGTAAGATGATTAATCAAGTCAATGAAACTATATAAAAATACAGTGAGGTATTCGTGACTTATTCTTTATGTAACACACATACACTGAATGCCTGAGCTAAGCCAGAGCAGTGTCGTGCCAGAGGTGCGCAGAGAACAGTTCGGGCATGACCCTAGAGAGCAAGAACCTCGGTTGGCTGGTTTGTGGCTCTCTATATACAATATACCAGAAGATAATGCAGGACCCCCCAGGACCTCAGCAAAGCCCAAGCCAACAAACATATAAACATGGTAATCCTAGTGCAGGGTATTGGGCCAGACATGTACTAAGTGATGTCACTAAGAGTGACAGGAAGAGGGCCAACCTCAGAGATTATACCTTCCTAAGATATAATTTCCATCTTCCACCAGCCCTTTCAAATTTTAGATTTATGTCTTTCTTCCTCGCTCACTCTCTCTCCCTCATTCCCATGCCTTCTTTTAAAATGTATGATTTTTAAAAATATCTTTGTATTTATTCTTATGTAGTGCTGAAGATCAAACCCAGTGTCTCACATGTGCTAGGCGAGCACTCTACCGCTGAGCCCCAGCCCTAGGCCATCATCCCTATGCCTTTTAACTTCACTTTAATATAGGGTCTAGCCAAGTTGCTGAGGCTGGTCTTGAACTTGTGATCCTACCTCCCAAGTAACACTAGGCTAGATTTGCTTCTTTCTGATGCACTGCATGTGGAATTTTTTTTTTTTTTTTTTTTTTTTTTTTTTTTTTTTTTTTGTGGTAATGGGGACTGAACCTAGTTCAGGACAATTTACCACTGAATTAGAACCCAGTCCTGTGCTGGGGTTGTGGTTCAGTGGTAGAGCACTCGCCTATCATGTGTGAAACACTGGGTTCAACCTCCAGCACCACAGAAAAGTAAAATAAAGGTATTGTGTCCATCTACAGCTAAAAATATTAAAAAAAAAAAGAACCAAAGTCCTTTTTATTTTTTATTCTGAAACAGGATCTCATTAAGTTGCCGAGGCAGGCATTGAACTTGCAATCCTCCTGCCTCAGCATCAGCCTCAGCCGGGATTACAGGTGTGTACCACTGTGCCTGGCGACAGGTGAATTTTTCATGAGTGTTTTTGCAATAGATAAAAAACATGTCCCCAGAACAGATGAATTTTTCAGTCTACTCCAATTCACTAATTTTCTGTTCAAGTGTATGCATTCCAACCTATTTCCATCATGTATACTTTTGTTTCCATGAAACACACATACTCTCTCTCTTGAGGTGCTAGGAAATTGAAACTTAGAGCATCCTAGGCAAGTGTTTATATTTTGAAGTACTGGGGATTGAGCCCAGAGGCACTCTACCACTGAGCTACATCCTTAATACTTTTAATTTTATTTAAAAATATTTTTTTAGTTGTAGATGAATTCAATACCTTTATTTTTCTGTGGTGCTGAGGATCAAACCCAGTGCCCACGTGTGCTAAGCAAGTGCTCTGCCACTGAGTCACAACCCCAGCCCAGCACTTTTTATTTTACTGAGATAAGGTATCACTAAGTTACTGAGGCTGGCCTTGAACTTGTGATCCTCCTGCCTCAGGCTCTGAGTTGCTGGGATTGCAGGAATGTGCCCCTGTGCTAGGTAAGTGTTTATTCTTTTAAAACACAAGTTATTCCTTCATTTACTCGTTGAATGTCTTGAATATAAATTTAAGTTCTATGCTACAAAATCCTTCATCTCTGATTAATTCCTCCTGCACTAGCTGAGGCTGCTTTCCCCACACTCTCCAGGGCCAGATCATGGCACAGTCATCTAGGTGATATGGGGCACTGCAGGGAGTCAGGGGTCAGAGTCAGGCATGGCTCTGTCCTTTGCTGGGCAGGGCACCTGTGTTCTCTCTCTGCCTAGGCTCAGGTCTTTCTGAACATCTCAGCTCCTGGTGTCCTTTCATCCCACATCCCATTTCATGAGGGGCACTTGGACTCCGCTCACTCCACGGGTTCAACCACGAGCCACCCAAGGCCTGACAGGCTTTGTCTTTTCTTCGCTGTTCTGAAATTCTGTTTGTGATTCATAAGTGTTCACCTTCCTTTTGGATAAGACTATTTAGTCTTTTTGGCAATGTCTTTTTTTTTAATATTTATTTTTTAGCTTTAGGTGGACACAATATCTTTATTTCATTTTTAGGTGGTGCTGAGGATCGAACCCAGTGCCTCACGCATGCTAGGCCAGTGCGCTACTACTTGAGCCGTATCCCGAGTCCTGGCAATGTCTTTTTAGCTTTTATATTTATCTCTATTTTCTGGGAGCAGAAGGGATGAGAGGTAAAGGCGAAGAGCCTCTGGAAGCACCTGGGTAATGCTATAACTTGTTTTCCATTTCTACTGCCATTTTTTTTGGATAATAAATTAAAAATTAAGACAAAAATACTTTTTCTCTTTTGGGGGGGGCGGTACCGAAGAGTGAACCCAGGGGCGCTTCATTACCAAGTCTCACATCCCAGTCCTTTTGGAGACAGGGTTTCACTAAGTTGCTTGGTGTCTCTCTAAGCTGCTAAGGCTGGTCTTGATCTTGTGATCCTCCTGCCTCAGCCTCCTGAGCTGCTGGGATTACAACTGTGCACCACTGTGCCTGGCACAAAAATACCTTCTAAACACAATACTCAATAAGTTTGTACAGAATGAACAAAATTTTAAATACTCTAAAATTCTTAAGAGATATTTAATAACACAACAATAAAAATGGATTGAAAGGCCTAAACTGGATGACTTACATTTTGACATTAATTTCTGCTAATTATCTGTTAAGGAATTTTGTTCCTCTCTTGCCAACATGCCTGCTTTCTCACTATTTTATATCTATTCCTTATATCCATGCATCCTGGTGGGTTTTAATCTACCTGAATAAAAACGTCTACCTTTCTTTTACTTTTATTGCTTGTCTTACATTTTTAGAAATAATTGCTCTTCAAAGCCCGATAAAACTAGCTTTACCTCAGGAATTAGTCAGTGACGCTGCCTGAAAGAGGCGGCACAGCTGGCAGGCACCGGACTAGAAAGCCCTTCTCATCACCTCTGGATTCAAGCCACCTGTGCTCGGGCCCCAGGTGTCCAGGGCCTGGGCAGAGAGCTGCTGCCACAGCAGGGGCGGGGTGGGGGGGTGGGGGGATAGGGTGGGGTGAGGAAAGAGGGGTTTATAGAGGCCACCTTCCCCTCTCCCTTCTGGAAAGTGGAATATGTTCGCTGTAGCAGCTGCTGTCCACCTATTTTTTTTTTTTCATGAAGAAGTAAAAAATTTAGAAATGGAAACAACGTCCAAATTTTAAGGGTACAATCAAGTTATTATTATGACAACTCAATATATTCAAAACTTTTAATAGTAATTTATGCATTCAACACCAATGATTCATTGTGACAGAAGCATTTGGGTGAAACATAAAAAAGCACCTTTCAGAAGTATGAAATAAGTATATTTTTGTAAAATCTACTGTAAATCAAATAATGTTGCCATCTGTATATGAAAATTTCAGTGGCATTTGTTTACACTTTCAACTTGTAGAAACTAATAATAGGTTTTTTATAGGGTGGTGCTCTGAATTGAACCCAGGGCCTCGCATATGCCAGGCAAGTGCTCTACCACGAGGCTACGCTCCCAGCCTTCCTTATGACAGTTTTCTTTGTCTTTTCTTCTTTCAGACTTTTAGACTCATACTTAAGGGATTTACTTGGCAGAAATCTATTTAAAGTGATCCTACCACTTAGTCTACAATAAAAAGCAGAGAAATATTCCTACATTTACCGGTTTTCATATTGGGGGATTTGGCAGTTTCCTAAAGGAGAGGTCGGGGTTGTGGCTCAGTGATAGAGCGCTTGCGTAGCATGTGAGAGGCACTGGGTTCAATCCCCAGCATCATATGGAAATGAACAAATAAAATAAAGGCATTGTGTCCATCCAGAAATAAAATTTGTAGTGTGTGTGTGTGTGTGTGTGTGTGTGTGTGTGTATGAAAGAAGGTTTCAGAGTAGGAGTGTGGTTCAGAGGAAGGGCACGTGTCTAGCATGCCTGAACCTCTGGGTCCCCTTCCAGCATGGGGGAGTCAGTGTAGCCATGGTGCTCATCAGGAGCAAGCCCCCTTGTGTGCAGGGTCCTCCTAGACAGGGCTCACTTGAATCATTTTACTTTTTCACGATTCTGGACCCTGAGTCCAACTTTTATCTCCTGTTCTTTTTCAAAAGCTGCCATGTGCAACCTGAGAGTGGGTTATTTTTATCTCTCACATGATTCCTGCATGCAGGTCAGGATAGGTGTCAGGGTCACGGCTGACAGATATTTGGCTCAGGTATTTGGGGATAAGATTTGATTTAGGGTATGTATAAGTTTGGTCAGGTTAGTCTGCTGGTATGGTCTTGTTTATCTGAAATCATATGAAAGCAATTAAATTTCAATCTTTATGTTAAAACCCCATAATCCAGAGAAGGGATCTGTATTTAAAAGCTAACAGTGAAAATTCAAAATAATATAATCTATTTGTCATTATTTGATCAAATCAATCAAGTGCTTTCCCAAACCTCAAACTATAGAGTATGGATTCTAGAATTTCAGATCTAGGTAACAAAAACAATCTCAGCAACTTCCTCCCACCTTTGGGCTATACTACAGATTAAGCCCAAGGGTGCTCTACCATGAGCCACATCCTCAGACCCTTTCATTTATTTTTAATTCTGAGACAGTCTCACTAAGTTGCCAGGGTAGCCTCGAATTCGCAATCCTTCCTCTGCCTC